CAGACTTAGGTCAAAATTTCCCACTTCAATAACTCGGTCAAATCTTATCCGATTTTCATAAGGTTTTGATTTTTTCTCATGGTTTTGCCTCTAGATCAAATTGGCATTTAAATCTGACAACGTTTTTCTGGGTCCAAATTCATGTCAAAATGGTACCCTCAAATATCCCATGTTGCCCTCAAATATCCCATGTAGACATAGATCAAAGTTTCCCACTTCCATTACTCGGTCAAATCTTATCCGATTTTCATAAGGTTTTGATTTTTTCTCATAGTTTTGCCTCTAGATCAAATTGGCATCTAAATCTGACAACGTTTTTCTGGGTCCAAATTCATGCCAAAATGGTACCCTCAAATATACCATGTTGCCCTCAAATATCCCATGCAGACATAGGTCAAAATTTCCCACTTCCATACCTTGGTCAAATCTTATCCGATTTTCATAAGGTTTTGATTTTTTCTCATAGTTTTGCCTCTAGATCAAATTGGCATCTACATCTGACAACGTTTTTCTGGGTCTAAATTCATGTCAAAATGGTACGCTCAAATATCCCATGTTGCCCCCAAATATTCCATGTAGACATAGATCAAAATTTCCCACTTCCATAACTCGGTCAAATCTTATCCGATTTTCATTAGGTTTTGATTTTTTCTCATAGTTTTGCCTCTAGATTAAATTGGCATTTAAATCTGACAACGTTTTTCTGGGTCCAAATTCATGTCAAAATGGTACCCTCAAATATACCATGTTGCCCTCAAATATCCCATGTAGACATAGCTCAAAATTTCCCACTTCCATAACTTGGTTAAATCTTATCCGATTTTCAAAGGGTTTTGATTTTTTCTTATGGTTTTGCCTCTAGATCAAATTGGCATTTAAATCTGACAACGTTTTTCTGGGTCCAAATTCATGTCAAAATGGTACCCTCAAATATACCATGTTGCCCTCAAATATCCCATGTAGACATAGGTCAAAATTTCCCACTTCCATAACTTGGTCAAATCTTATCCGATTTTCATAGGGTTTTGATTTTTTCTCATAGTTTTGCCTCTAGATTAAATTGGCATTTAAATCTGACAACGTTTTTCTGGGTCCAAATTCATGTCAAAATGGTACGCTCAAATATCCCATGTTGCCCCCAAATATTCCATGTAGACATAGATCAAAATTTCCCACTTCTAAACTCGGTCAAATCTTATCCGATTTTCATTAGGTTTTGATTTTTTCTCATAGTTTTGCCTCTAGATTAAATCGGCATCTAAATCTGATAAAGTTTTTCTGGGTCCAAATTCATGTCAAAATGGTACGCTCAAATATCCCATGCAGACATAGGTCAAAATTTCCCACTTCCATAACTCGGTCAAATCTTATCCGATTTTCATAAGGTTTTCATTTTTTCTCATGGTTTTGCCTCTAGATCAAATTGGCATTTAAATCTCACAACTTTTTTCTGGGTCCAAATTCATGACAAAATGGTACCCTCAAATATCCCATGCAGACATAGGTCAAAATTTCCCACTTCCATAACTCGGTCAAATCTTATCCGATTTTCATAAGGTTTTCATTTTTTCTCATGGTTTTGCCTCTAGATCAAATTGGCATTTAAATCTGACAACTTTTTTCTGGGTCCAAATTCATGACAAAATGGTACCCTCAAATATCCCATGCAGACATAGGTCAAAATTTCCCACTTCCATAACTCGGTCAAATCTTATCCGATTTTCATAAGGTTTTTATTTTTTCTCATGGTTTTGCCTCTAGATCAAATTGGCATTTAAATCTGACAACTTTTTTCTGGGTCCAAATTCATGTTAAAATGGTACCCTCAAATATCCCATGCAGGCATAGGTCAAAATTTCCCACTTCCATAACTCTGTCAAATCTTATCCGATTTTCATAAGGTTTTTATTTTTTCTCATGATTTTGCCTCTAGATCAAATTGGCATTTAAATCTGACAACGTTTTTCTGGGTCCAAATTCATGCCAAAATGGTACCCTCAAATATACCATGTTGCCCTCAAATATTCCATGTAGACATAGATCAAAATTTCCCACTTCCATAACTCGGTCAAATCTTATCCGATTTTCATAAGGTTTTGATTTTTTCTCATGGTTTTGCCTCTAGATCAAATTGGCATTTAAATCTGACAAAGTTTTTCTGGGTCCAAATTCATGTCAAAATGGTACCCTCAAATGTCCCATGCAGGCATAGGTCAAAATTTCCCACTTCCATAACTCGGTCAAATCTTATCCGATTTTCATAAGGATTTGATTTTTTCTCATGGTTTTGCCTCTACATCAAATTGGCATTTAAATCTGACAACTTTTTTCTGGGTCCAAATTCATGTCAAAATGGTATCCTCAAATATGCCATGCAGACATAGGTCAAAATTTCCCATATCCATAACTCTGTCAAATCTTATCCGATTTTCATAAGGTTTTGATTTTTTCTCATGGTTTTGCCTCTAGATCAAATTGGCATCTAAATCTGACAACGTTTTTCTGGGTCCAAATTCATGTCAAAATGGTACCCTCAAATATCCCATGCAGACATAGGTCAAAATTTCCCACTTCCATAACTCGGTCAAAACTTATCCGATTTTCATAAGGTTTTGATTTTTTCCCATGGTTTTGCCTGTAGATCAAATTGGCATTTAAATCTGACAACGTTTTTCTGGGTCCAAATTCATGTCAAAATGGTACGCTCAAATATCCCATGTTGCCCCCAAATATCCCATGTAGACATAGATCAAAGTTTCCCACTTCCATAACTCGGTCAAATCTTATCCGATTTTCATAAGGTTTTGATTTTTTCTCATGGTTTTGCCTCTAGATCAAATTGGCATCTAAATCTGACAACGTTTTTCTGGGTCCAAATTCATGTCAAAATGGTACCCTCAAATATCCCATGTTGCCCTCAAATATCCCATGTAGACATAGGTAAGAATTTCCCACTTCCATAACTCGGTCAAATCTTATCCGATTTTCATAAGGTTTTGATTTTTTCTCATGGTTTTGCCTCTAGATCAAATTGGCATTTAAATCTGACAACTTTTTTCTGGGTCCAAATATATGTCAAAATGGTATCCTCAAATATGCCATGCAGACATAGGTCAAAATTTCCCACTTCCATAACTCGGTCAAATCTTATCCGATTTTCATATTTTTTGATTTTTTCTCATGGTTTTGCCTCTAGATCAAATTGGCATTTAAATCTGACAACTTTTTTCTGGGTCCAAATTCATGTCAAAATGGTACCCTCAAATATCCCATGCAGACATAGGTCAAAATTTCCCACTTCAATAACTCGGTCAAATCTTATCCGATTTTCATAAGGTTTTGATTTTTTCTCATGGTTTTGCCTCTAGATCAAATTGGCATTTAAATCTGACAACGTTTTTCTGGGTCCAAATTCATGTCAAAATGGTACCCTCAAATATCCCATGTTGCCCTCAAATATCCCATGTAGACATAGATCAAAGTTTCCCACTTCCATTACTCGGTCAAATCTTATCCGATTTTCATAAGGTTTTGATTTTTTCTCATGGTTTTGCCTCTAGATCAAATTGGCATCTAAATCTGACAACGTTTTTCTGGGTCCAAATTCATGTCAAAATGGTACCCTCAAATATCCCATGTTGCCCTGAAATATCCCATGTAGACATAGATCAAAGTTTCCCACTTCCATTACTCGGTCAAATCTTATCCGATTTTCATTAGGTTTTCATTTTTTCTCATGGTTTTGCCTCTAGATCAAATTGGCATTTAAATCTGACAACTTTTTTCTGGGTCCAAATTCATGACAAAATGGTACCCTCAAATATCCCATGCAGACATAGGTCAAAATTTCCCACTTCCATAACTCGGTCAAATCTTATCCGATTTTCATAAGGTTTTCATATTTTCTCATGGTTTTGCCTCTAGATCAAATTGGCATTTAAATCTGACAACTTTTTTCTGGGTCCAAATTCATGTCAAAATGGTACCCTCAAATATCCCATGCAGACATAGATCAAAATTTCCCACTTCCATAACTCGGTCAAATCTTATCCGATTTTCATAAGGTTTTGATTTTTTCTCATGGTTTTGCCTCTAGATCAAATTGGCATCTAAATCTGACAACGTTTTTTTGGGTCCAAATTCATGTCAAAATGTTGCCCTCAAATATCGTAAATAGACATAGGTCAAAATTTCCCACTTCCATAACTCGGTCACATCTCATAATGAAACATTTCTCTGCCATTTCACTCGTTTCAGGTAATGCTGTTGATTGTTTTGGGGTAAGTGAAAGATGATTTTGTTGTTTATTTTTGATCGCAACGTATTTATTTGTTTTTCATTGTCATATCAATTTTTATCGTAAATAATTAATTAATATTATTAAGTACATAAACGCTAAGTATATAATTTAATTTGTTCAATAATTTTGTTTGTTTCTCTTTCGCTTTTCGCTTTTCGCTTCTCAAGTTAATTAGTTAGAAAACTCGTCATTTTTGTGGTGAAATGCTTTGGTTATTGCTGTAAAATGTTCGACTACTATTAAATATGATTTGCTCTACATATAGGATATTATATATATATATATATAAATCGATATATATATATATAAATATATGTGATTTTATGCATACAAGAGTTTAAAATTATTTAAAATATTTCGCTTTTTCAGTGAGTTTTTTTTTTGAATAGATTTTTTGTTTTATAATTATATAGTTATGTATATAGTATGATATATGGGTAATATATTTATGGGTGTATATATATGTATATATAAAAAAAAAGAAGCTCTTAAGACTAGAGTTCTATATATTTAATATGGTATGCATTTGTTTTTTTTTTTTTTACTAAGCCACGCTGCGGTTCAAGGCCTCATTCAATGTACAATAACTTGTTTCCTCCACTTAAACATCCGATTATATTATATATATATATATATATATATCTGTATATCTGTATCTTTATATATATATGTATAAAAAAAAGTAGAAGAGCACTACGAAGGCAAATTTTCTTGTACACATTTATTAGAATTATTATTATTATTAATTTTAATTTCTTTTAGTTTTAACTTAAGTCTTTCTTTAAGCATTATTTGTGTTCGTTGTAGACCTAAATTTTAATACTAATATTACGTACAAAATAGTGGGTAGGGTAGGGTAGGGGGAGTGTTGGAAAAAAAAAATGTTTACTTATTTCTGCGTTGTTTTTGATTAATTTGTTGTTGACATGTTTTTCGTTCACAAAATGTTGCCCAAAACTGTTAACAGCAAGTTGCAGTGTTGGATAACGTTTGCTATCGTTTTGCAAAGTGTCAACTGCAGTTGCAGTGTTGCAAAACGTTTGCGTTTTGTCATGTTGTCATGTTAACTGCGCTTGCAGTGTTGCAAAACGTTTGTCATGTTTTTGCTTCGCAAACTGTTAACTGCGCTTGCAGTGTTGCAAAACGTTTGCGTTTTGTCATGTTTTTGGTTCTCAAAATGTTTGCACTGCCTGTGCAGTGTTGTAAAACGTTCGGTTGTACCGCTAAACAAAAGCGCTTACACTACAAAAAAAAACGTGCTACTTTTCTACATATGAAATGAGTTTAAAATTATCTCAAAAAAAAAAAAAACATCTAGGCTTTGGTATGTGTGGAACGACAGTTCGCTGACAGTTCAAAAAGGAGAAGAAGAGAGAAGAGAGAGAGAGAGAGAGAGAAGAGCAAGCCAGCTGTTCGCTTCCTGCTGGGTGCTGTATATGATATTTCACATGCTTGCGTAAGGCCAAAGTTCATGTGTTGCAAAGTTTGACTAAGAACTACGAGCTACTGAGCTGAGTCTGCTGCGTTGAACCGATAACTTTACGTTAGCTGGCAACGTTAAATGTGCTTCTTGTTTTTTTTTTTGTTATTTTTGACTAGCTGCTGATTTTGTGACTTACGCTTCGCTTACTTTTCAACGCCCAGCAGCTTGGCCGCCTCGTCCGCGGAGGAGAGCAGCTTGTTGAGTATGCCCTGGTCGCTGATGCCCAGCAGATTGCCAATTAGATCGTTGCTGGCCATGCCAAAGGCGGCGGCGGCGGCTGCTGCGGCTGCTGCTCCTCCTCCTCCTCCAGCTGAGGGCGTGGCATCGCCCATTTTGTCCTTCTGGAGGCGCCAGTCGGGCGTCTTGTCCAGGCGCAGGCTCTGCTTGTTGTTGTTGTTCTGGCAACTGTTGTTGTTGTTGTTGTTGTTGTTATTGCTGGGCATGGCCATGGATTGGGGCGTTGGAGTGGGCGTGCCAGGTGGCGTGGCCATCTGCTCGTCATCGGAACAATCGGAGGCGCCCTGCTCGCCATTGTGACTGCGTCCGCTGTGCTTCTTCATGTGCCGCAGCATGCTGTGCTTCAGCGTGAACTTGCGCAAACAGATCTCGCACTGGAACGGCCTTTCGCCGGAATGTGTGCGCATATGTCGCCGCAAATCCTCCGTTGACCAGAAGCGACGCACACAGAACGCACAAATCACCTTCCGGTTGCTGTAGTCCGGATATTTGCCATTGCCGCGACCCGCCGGCGCCAGCGACTCATCCTCGGAACCAGCTGTTGCCAGGGGCTGCTGCTGCTGAGGATTGGGCTGCTGCTGCTGGTCGTGGAGCGCCTCCGTTTCGATGGCGCCTTTGGCCAGCAGCAGGGCAAACTCCTGGCCATGCAGCTGCTTGATGTGCTCGAGGCACTGCAGCCGCTCGCCGAACGAGAACTCGCACAGATGGCATTTGTACGGCAGCTCGCTGCCGTTTCCTTCCCCTCCAGTTGGACTATTCCCAGCACCGGGTCCAGCTGCAGCGACGGCGGCGGCGGCGGCCAGTTGCTGGCGCAGCTGTGCCGCGGCGGTCAGCTGCTGGATGAGCTGCTGCTGCTGTTCCCGTTCCCGTTCACGCTCTCTTTCGCGTTCCCGCTCGCGTTCCCGTTCCCGTTCCCTTTCGCGTTCCCTTTCGCGCTCCGCCTCGGCTGCCTTGCGGCGGCGCTGCTCCTCCAGGGCGATCTCTTCGACGGACTTGGGCACGGGTATCGGTTCGCTGACATCCTCGGTGGGCACATAGACGCTCATCGCGGACTCGACATTGCCGTGCTTGCGCAACAGATGCCGATCGCAGTTGCTCTTCGTGGTGAACAGCAGCGGACAGTGGGAGCACTTGAAGGGCTTCTGGCCCGTATGGGTGAGAATGTGGCGCCGGAGCGAGCTGCTCCACGGGAACATGCGCTGGCAATACGGACAGCTGACACGATTCGGTGCCAGACTGTAGGCGGACTTCTTCTTTGGTTCGTTGCAGCTGCTGCTGGTTACGTCCTCGGTGCCGGAATTGTTGCTCTCGCTGGCGCTGCCGGAGGCGACTAGGCCCTCCTCGTCGCTCTGCTCCATGTGATTGGCCACGTCGCTTGGCCGGAAATAGCTATTGAAGGAGACCTGATTGCTGGTCGCGTTGTCTACCAGCTTGGCCACCGGCACCAGATCCTGAGATTCGTCCTTGAACGGCGAGCTGGCCACATCTTTCAAGGATTTGGCCACCGATTCTGCTTGGGCTATCATTGTTTTCATCGTAGTGGGCGTTGGCGTGGGCGTGGCTACTGCTGATGCTGCTGCTGTTGTGGGCGTTGGCATGGCCACGGCATCGGCATCGGAATCGGGATCGGGCTTGGCCTGCGCCTTGATCACCTGCTCCAGTATGCTCTCCGCTACCTTTTTGGCTGCCTCAATTGGCGTGCCGGGGCGTGGCAATGTGGGCGTGGCCGCCAACGCGGACTCCATCAGCTGTTCCGCCTGCTCCTCGTCATCCTCCTCCATTTCGAGCTCCTCCTCCGGTTCTTCCTCCGTATCGTCAAACTCCTCCTCCTCAACCTCATCGTCCTCGTCTATGATCAGCTTGGGCGGCTCATCGTCATCCGCAGCAGCTCCGTTCAGATTGTTGCCGGGATGTGGCTGCTGTTGCTGCTGCTGCTCCTGCTTGTTGTTGTTGTTATTGTAGTTAAAGTGGAGCAGCGCGCTGCTGGAGCCGTGCGCCAGCGCCTGCTGCAACAGATCCGTATCCTTGCGCGCCTTCAGCTGCTGCGCCAATATCGCATACTTCACCTGCTCCGAGATGGGCGGATGCGCATGCTGCTGCTGCTGCTGTTGCTGCTGGTGCTGCGCCAGATTCGACATGGCAGCTGCTGCTGCTGCTGCCGCCGCTGCCGCTGCCGCCGCCGCCGCATTGGAGCTGGCCGCGCGTCCGCGCATCACATGGTGTCCGCTGCGCTGGCGTTGCGCATAGTACTGGGGATGCTGCTGCTTCACATGGCGCTCCATGTTGGAGCGCAGCGTAAAACGGGCGGAGCAATGCTCGCAGGCGAAGGGACGCTCGGTGCGATAGCGACGCTGCTTCTGCTTGGGCATCAGGACGCCATTCTTGATGACCATCTTGACGGGTCCGCCAGCTGGCACGGGCACCGGCACGGCCATGGGCATGGGCACGGGCATGGCAGCAACTGTTGCCGGCGTCGCAGCTGCATTTGCTTGGGATTTATCTGTTGCTGTCGTCGCCGTTGCCGGCGGCGGAGGCGCCATATAGCCAAAGAAGGAGAAGCCCGGCGTCTGCTGGAACATGAGATTGCGCAGCAGCTGCTGCATATACTGCGTGGTCGCATCACCTCCAAACAGTTGCTGCTGCTGCTGCTGTTGCACCTGTTGCAGCTGTTGCACCTGTTGCTGCTGCAGCTGGAGCAGCTCGTGCTCCTGCTCACGTTCGCGTTCCCGTTCCCGCTGGCGCTCCAGCTGCTGTGTGGGCTTCTTGCTCAGATCCAGCACGTCCATGCTGAGATCCATGGCCGGCGGCGCTACCGGTTTCTCCACCAGCTGATCCAGGCTCTTCACCTGTATCTTGAGCGGCGTTGCCGGCGCCGTTGGCGGCGGCTTGGCGCACGGCTCCGCGAGCAACATGTGCTTCAGCTGCGACTCCGTCGCCGGCGGCGGCAAAGGAAGCGGAAGCGGCGGTGGCGGGCTGAGCGAGCGATAGCTGAGCTCGGCCAGATCCGTGTCCTGGCCCGCGGCCCGTTTGTTGTTCTCCTCACAGCTGGCATCCTCCGCCGGATGATAGACAATGGCGCGCTTAACCTCCTCGCGGCTCGTCTTGCCATGTCGATTGCGCAGATGCCGCTCACAGTTGGCCTTCGTGGTGAATGCATAATTGCAGACGGCGCACTCGTACGGCCGATCTCCGTTGTGGGTGCGCATGTGCCGCACCAGCGCCGCCTTGTCGCAAACGGCATAGGGGCACATGTTGCAGCGAAAGGGTCCGGCGGCGCCGACAGCGGCCAAATGGACACGATTGTGGCCCTTGAGGGCGCGCAAATTGGGAAAGACGGCGCTGCACAGCTTGCAGGGAAATTCGCCGCGCAGTTTCATGCGCCGGAATTCGCTGGTGAACGCATCCTGGGCCTCCTCCTCGCCGTCGCGCCCATCCAGACTGTACTGGCTGGAGCAAGGCGTGTTCACGGACTGCTCGAAGTTGCGCAGGAAACTCGACGTACAGCTGGAGCTGGTCATGTGCAGTATGCTCTGTATATCGGCCAGATCCTGACGCTGCTCCGACGGCTCCCGCTTGATGGGCGACGGCAGGCCGCCGGCCTTGCCTTTTAGATAGAGCTGCTGAAAGAACTCATCCCGCTCGCTGCTGGCCAGCTGCTCCTCCTCCTCCTCCTCATCCCCATACTGCTGCTGCTCCGGCTGCTCCTGGTCGTGCTCGTGCTCCTCCAGCTTGTGCAGCGGCGAGCTGCTGGCGCCCAGCAGCGGCGGCAGCTGCAGCTGGCCGCGACAGCTGTGCACCTGCAGCTGCCGATGGCTGGCAAAGATCACCTCGCACTCGCGACACTTGGCTGGTATGTCCGGATGCGCTGCATCCAGATGCGCGCACAGCGCCGGCAATGTCTCAAACTCGCCCGTATTGCACGCCGGACAGCTCTGCAGCCCCGGCGAGGGACTCGGCGTGCTGCCGCCGACGCCGCCGGTGGCCAACAATGTGGCCACATCCGGCGTGCTCGTGATCATTTGTGCCACATCCACGCTCTCCGCATCCGCATCCGAGTCCAGATCTGGCTCCGGCTCGGGCTCCGACTTGGGCTGCTTTGGCTGCTCCTCGTCGCTGAGAATGTTGTTGTTGTTGATGTTTGTCTTCGGCCGTCGTTGCTTGCACGCCAGCAACAGTTGCTGCTGCTGCTGCTCGCCGTTGCTGTTGCTGTTGTTCTTGTTCGTTTGCTCGCTGTTGTTGTTGTTGTTGTTGTTGTTGTTATTGTTGCTGTTGTTGCTGTTGTTGCTGCTGCTGCCGCTGCTGCTGCTGGACACATCCGTCGAACAGCTGGCATCGCTCTCGTAGCTCTCCGCGCGTCCAGCTGACGCGCCCGCATGTTGCTGCCGTCGCTGCTGCTGCTGCTGTGCATGTTGCTGCTGTGCATGTTGCTGCGGTGCATGTTGTTGCTGTGCCTGTTGCTGCTGCTGCTGCGTCGGCTGCTGCTGCTGCGTCGTCTGGTGCTGCTTGTGGGTGCGCATGTGCCGGTGCATGTTGCCGTTCGTCGTGAATGTCAGATGGCAATAGCGACAGTTGAACGGACGCTCGCCCGTGTGCACCAGCACGTGTCTGTCCAGCGAGGAGGCCGATGATAGCACCTAAAATGGGGGGCGTGGCCAAGTGAGAAATGAATGGAAGAGGCACAAGTTAGTCGGCTATCAAAAACAATCAAGAGTTCCCGAGTTGCCAGCTAAAATAATTCCAATCTCCTGTCAAAACTCGCTTCATTTGGAGATCGCGTTCTCAAGTAACTCCGGATTGTATTATCCGATTTCTCCAAAACTTTCAGAACTTAATCATGGAGTGAAAAAGTGTGTATATACCAAGGCCCAGCAGTGTGCCTCTTAAAATTACCTTTTTCTTTCATTTTCTAATCAAATGGGGAATATTATCTAAAATATGGTATGTTCCCAGTCTGCATATGCTACCCTCGAACCTGCTTACCAAGTTGGGTGCATATAGCTCTTATAATCCTCGAGTTATCCAGAAATAACAAATTCTCCAAATCGATTTTTATCGATTTTATGCAAATAGAAACTATCGAAAAAAGCTGATTAGCTTTTACTTAAATTCAAACTAGAGGTCAATAATCTTCGCGCTCAAGAGCAACACTACATTCGTCTAAAAATCGCACTATTTCAACGGTAGTCGACCATGCAATACCCTATAATTGGTTAAACAAAAAAAATTTATGGTTCAGTTAGACAACTTTTGACTTTTTACCCTGTAATTGCGTTCAAAAACTTCTTTTTCTTTTGTATTTCTGATTTTATCGGTTGATCGACTATGGAAATACCCTGTAAATGGCTACTTTGCAACTCATGTTTTACTTATCGTCGCTTTAGACAGTAGTCGCGCGTTGTACTACCCTGTAACTGGTTTTTTATTTTGATTTTACAGTAGTCGACCATTTTAATACCCTTTACTATCTCGACAGTAGTCGACCATTTAAATACCCTTTACTATCTCGACGGTAGTCGACTACTACATACCCTACAAGTTTATATTTTCTTGTTTTTGGCAACATATCTCGACAGTAGTCGACAACCTATACCCTGTAATTGTGATTGTCGTTTTTTTTTTCTAAGCTATCTCGACAGTAGTCGTTAACCTTTTACCCTGTACTAAAGCTTACCTTGGAGCAGATGCGGCAGGTGAAGTTCTCGGTATCGCCGTTGGCGTAGTTGTGGCAACGTATGTGATTGGTGAACTCGTGGGGCGTGGCCGAGACGACCTCGCAGATGGGGCAAACATATTTCATGTGCTCGTCGCCGGCGCCGATGCCGGATTCGGCGCTCGAGTGGCACAGGCCTTGGGGCGAGCTGCCGCCGGAGCTGCTGCTTGAGGCCAATTGCTGCTGTTGCTGCTGTTGCTGCTGCTGCGCTGCCGACGCTGACTGCGCCGCGCTGCTGGCGCTGAGCAAATAGCCGCTGTGCGCGCTGCCATCCACAAAGCCGGACTCAGAGAGCTCCCCGTTGTTGCCATTGATGCTGCTCGCGCTGCTGCGGTTCAGGCGAAACTTTTTGCGCAGCGAACTGGCATCGCCGCCGGCGCTGTAGTCGACGACGATGCTGGCGCTGGCAGCAGCTGCGGCAGCGACTGCGGCTGCACTTCCGCTGCGTCGCTGCTTGTGCCGCAGTCGCTGCGCGGACTGCTCCAGCAGCTGCTGCTGCTGCTGTTGCTGCTGCTGCTGCAGCTGCTCCTCATCCTCGTCGGAGAGCAACTGTTGCGGCTGCTGCTGCAGCTGGCGCAGTTTGCGCTTGCGCGACGTCGCCTCGTGCGGCGTCGACGTCGGCTGCGGCGCGCCGCTGCTGCTGCTCAGCTTCTTTGGCGTGCGGCTCAAGTCCAGGTGCTCCAGCGAGGACTCCGACGTGCTCGAATCGCGGCGCGCCCGCTCCAAGCCCGCATCCTCGAGCCCTACTGTTGTGCCTGCCGCTGCTGTTGCCGTTGTGTGTTGCTGTTGTGGCTGCTGCTGTTGCTGTGCGGCCAGCATTTTCGCTGCTGATGTCGTTGTAAAAGTTGGCTAATTGAGATCGTAAACGGCTGCTGCTTGTCTGCTGTGGTTAGCTGCAACAATAGGAATTGACATTAGAATTAACATGAGGTTAACATTAACACTGCAACATATGTACGTGCTTAAAAGGCCAAGTATGTTGGTCTCGAGTTGGCACTAGCATTAACATGAGGTTTAACATTAGGATGAACATCCTTAAGTGCCCAGTCTACTGGTCTGGAGTTGACATTAGCATTAATATGGCCAGTATGTTGTTCACAAGTTAACATTATCATTAACATGAGGCTTAACATGAGAATTAACATAAACCCTATTATATGTGTACGTGCTTATATGGTCAGTTTGTTGGTCTGGTTGACATTAGCATTAACGTGAGGTTTGAAATTAACATAAACATAAACACTGCAAAACACTGCATTTAACATGTAGTTTAACATGAGCATCAACTAAAGGATTCACATAAGTGTACAAGGAAACATGAAATTCACCTATTAAATGAAGTGCGTTTAAAAGAGAGAGCATATAATGTTAACATTAGCTTTACCATGAGGATAACATAACGTTGAGCAATAAGACTCTAAAGACGTGCTCCAACAGTCACAGGAGACGGAGGAAAAAGTAAGCTTTAATCTGAGAAACCTGCTCTCTTATAACCATAAAAGTGAACAAGATAAGTTAACATGAGGATTACAATTAACATTTATATTACAATCCAAACGTCAAGTGCACGAATGTACTCCAATTGGTAATTTTAACGAATAACAATATGAAATAAGCTCGCATCGTATTTTGTTGCAGTGTAGCTTACACGAATACATTTGAATTTGGCGTTGCCAGATCGCACAATGCATTTTTGCACTGAAAGCCAAGAAGGAGAATGCGAACTGAAAACCAATTCCTTGAATACGACAACATTTCCAATTGCGCTGCGCTGATTGGATTACGCGCATTTAATTGGAAATCCCAGCGCAGATCTCGTAACTCGGTTTCAGCTGTAAAATGCACGAGCTGCCCTCGCTGCCGAACAGCTGATCGAACTTCTGTTAAACGAGACGTTCGCAAAACAGTTGCGCATTTCTAATTGGCAACTGCAAACGGATGCATTTCGACAGCAACAAATTCCAATCAGAGCAAGTGCGTGCGCGAGCAAGAGAGCGCCCACCACCCCCACCCCGCCCCGCACTGCCGCTCATCAGCTGCTGCTCATCTCTAATACACGCTCTCTCTCTCTCTCTCTCTCTCTCTCGCTCTCTCGCTCGCTCGCTGCGTATCGATTTGTTATCGGTTCGTGCGCTTTGCGCTTTGTATTTGTTGCATTTCCATTCGCTGCGCGCACATTTCTCATTAACATTAACCGTTATCTATGGCTGCTGCTGTTGTTGTTGTTGTTGTTGCTGCGCTCGTCGCCAATTGGAAATCCTAAGCAGCAACAGCAACAACATGTTGACAAATTTAAAAGAAAACCTTTCAGCGATAACATTTTGATTTTTGTTTTTGTTTTTGTTGTTTCGGCTTTGGCTCTGCGATTTTGGTTGGTCGATTTCAATTTTCGAATTGTGACTCAGCCGCATGTTAAATCATTGAGATAAAGACACGCCCCCTTGCCCGATTCGCCCTCTCGCCCTCTATCTCCCTCGGACTCTGACATGGCGAAATCCTCTCCATCATTTGCCTTTGGCTACACTCAGCGAAAAACTTTGCTTTCTTTCGATTTCATTAAAAATAATTCTAATTAAGTAAATCTCGCTGTTGTCTTTTCTGACAAAATGTAAAATTTGTAGTTTTCAGAAACTTTATTTTCTTAAGATTTCTGATTTTCACATTGAAATCGAATCGAATAAAAATCTTCGTGGTTTTTTAAGTTATTTAGCCCTCAGGCTAAAAACTTTATTTGGAAAGAACAGAAACTGTTTCATTGAAAAGAAATGCAATTTCTAGAGTTTTTTTTTCAATCAAATTGAGTAGATTTAAGATTTTGCCACACTTTTTTGAAGTTTTCCTCAACGAAAAGCAGCTCAAAACTGTTTTAACTCAAAAAGTTTGAAAATATCTAAAAAATTTTATGATTTTTTTGGGTATTCGGTTTTATTTTGTATTAAATTAAGTTTTGTGTTGCATATTTTCTTGGCGAATCGAAACAAAACCTAAATCAAGCTGAGTTTTAAGTATTTAAATAAATAACTTGCTTGTTCTTGAACGAAATAGCTGAAATTCTAAAGGGAACTTGAACCTTCAAAGCTTCAACTTGATCTATTTGTTGGAAAAACTCGTCAGTTGGAACATTTAACAAATTGTCTTCATTAGTTTTGCCCGAAAAGGCGGTTAACAAGGGGCGCAACCCTTTTTTTTTTCTTTTTTTTTTTTTGTTTCGGTCGGGTTCAGAGCTCAAAAGGGATTCCAAATTTATAATACGTTCGGGCGCTTGAACCTTGAACCCGGCCGAGGGTCAATTCGATTAGAGGCTTAGTAAATCACACACAAGAAACAGGGTCGCATGCTTGCGACTATGAGATACCCTAGAGTGCGCTTTAAGCTCAACTCTCGTAACTTCGGTCCTTAGAGTCCGATCTTAAGGAAATTTTGGATTTTCTTATGTGACACATGGAAATATAACCAAACCAAAGACCAAGGTTCTAGCTACTCAAACGGGGGGCAATGGGGTAGGTATACGATATAGAGTTATGATTCTAGCTCTCCAAATATATTTTTTGTAAGTTTTGAATATGGCAAAAAAAAATTGAAGAAAAAGTATAATAATATCTTGAATTTGAGGCTCTAGACTTTGTAGTTTTCGGAAAGACGGATCTGGCTAGCTCAACTAAGCCCTGATCAGGAATATATATATATATATATATATATATAGATATATACTCGGAGAATATCTCCATCACATTTCGCACAAAACAATTTCCAATAGCTTCAGAGTTTCGCAGAGTGTGAAAACTTGTCCCTTAATCCAGCCTGGGCTCTGATATATATATATATATATAGAAATATATATTTTACTGTTATTTGCATGCTTGCATGTAATCCATGAAAAGCACTTTTCACACAACACTTGCACAAATTCTCTTGTGACACATGAAAAAAAAATTGTTTTTGCAATTTTTAACCAAGAAATCAAAAAAAATATTGTTTATTGAATTTGTATTGAAATTTGTTACCTTTGTTTTGTTTTGGTTTTTTGCACAATTTGGCGGCGGCATTCGAAGCCGTTTTTTTTTTTTTTTTTAATTTAACTTAATAAATAAATTTATTTATTTATTTATTATTGTTATTATTTTGTTTTTTGTTTTTTTTTTTTTTTTTTTGGTTTAAGTTTTTCACTAGTTGTCACTTTTGTTTGTAAATTTGGTTGAATTTCGTCGTTGTTGTTGTTGTTCTTGTTGTTGCACTCAATTATTATTATAAAATAATTAATTTGTAGCACGTTTCTTTGGTTTAATTAAATTACAAAAAAAAAAATAAAATAATTTCATTTAATTTCATTGACTTTCGGGCAGTCAACAAATTTGCACCAAGTGTTTTATTTTTTTGTGTGTAATTTTTAACTGTAATTTGGCTGTCTCTTGTGTGTCTGCTGTTTCGTTGTATCCCGTTTTGCTGTCGCAGCGCGCCGCAGATGCTTTCACGTTGACGCGCACACGAGTTCTGAGCGCAGCCGCGGCGCAAGCGTTCGGCAGAGCCTCTCGCTGTGGCAGCTTTATCTAGGTGTGTGTGTGTGTGTGTGTGTGTCTGTGGCTCTGCTCGTGCGCTGCTGAGAAGAATGCAGACGTATTGAAGAAGTCGAAGCAGCAGCAACAACAATAACAGAAAAAAAAAATGTGTATATATATGTATGTATAAAAATAAATAACAAATTCAAGACGTCTTTTCGGTTCGACTTCTGAATTGTATTTGAACGCATCTATAAAATTGTATTTATAAAAGCGCAGAGCAGAGCCCAGCGCAGAGCGCAGAGCGCAGAGTCAGCGTCAGCGTCGGCAGCAGCAGCAGCAGCTGGCTGACAGCGACATCGACATCTGAGCGACGAGCAGTGAGAGAGAACGCAATGGCTGCCTCTGCTCAGAGTATGCGTGCATGTGTGTGTGCGTGTGTGTGTGTGTGTTTGTTGAGTGTGAGAGCTGTACGACTGCGGCTGCGGCTGCTGTTGCTGTGTTGGTGGGTTTGCTTGGCATTGGTATTGGTTAGATAAAACTGCAGAGTAGCTCAGCTGACGCCGACGTCGCTGTCGTCGTACGCTGCTCGTTAAATCTTGGGCGCAAAGGAGGCAGCAGCAACAGCAGCAGCAGCAGCAGCAGCAGCAGAGGCAGCAGCAGCAGCTTTGCTGCTTCTTTGTTGGATTTTTCTTTCGTTTCATTTTATTTTTGGACGCAAATAGGATTACACTTGGTTTCGATGTGTGTGTGTTGTGTGTGTGTGTGCACGCATGTTGCTTGCGTGTGCTGTGGGTGCGTGTGTGCTAGAGCGAGCGCGCGCTATATAGCGCACATGCATATGTATATGTGTATGCATGTGCATATGTATTGCGCAGCCACCAGGAGCTGAAGTGCTCTGCTTTTTATATGCATGTGTGTGAGTGTGTCTGTGTGTGTCTGTGTCTTATGTAAATGCGGCTCTGCCTGAAGAACTTGGTACAGGGTATCTCCTTCTGGAGCATATATATATAACAGATATTTGCTACTGTTATACACATGTACATATGTATAACATGTGCATTTGAGAACATGGCAAATCTTGTTGCCATTGGCTACTTTACTGTTATGTTTTTTTTCCCCCCCCCTCATATTGTACAGTGGCAACTCCCTTGAGCGAACAGTCTATTAATTGGGGGAATTACTGCTTTTGGAAGATAGCAAAGAAATACTTAAATACTGGAAAACTTAAAAAAAATATATGTATATAACATTTACAGTAATTTTTTAGAATTTGCAAATTTGTTGTTGTTTTTTTATACCCTGAACCCATTAAAAATGGGT